TGATTTATCCTTTGGCATTACTCGAATCTACTGTCAACCTCTTATGAGACTGACCCATGTATCTATTAAATGTTGAAACCATTCCCATTTTGCTTCCGAAGCATACTTTCAAGCTATCAAATGCGGCGATTGTATCCATGGTCCTTGAAATGATGGAACGGTCAAGTTGTACAAACAATCATGCTTACTATATGAAGCTCTACTTGGGCGACATATCAAAGTGACTTAGAAATATCTACATAGAATGAAACGTTGCGATTAAAATGACTCTCAGATTGATTTTTGATTGTTGCATACTAGGATTTCATGTCTATGTCAAGCCTCGACAAAGAATCGGATGATGTTTGCTTTTGTAACACTGTGCTAGTCCTCGCTAAGAACACGGCCAGTCCGAGTTTGATGATCAATTGAAAATCACCAAAACAAGACAAACTCGTTATGTAACATGTCCAAAACTCTTCTCAATAATATCTTGGAGATTCTCACGTAAAATCAAATCATTACAGCCTCGGCATTGACCATAATATGGCATCATGAGTTCATGACTGCGGGGATCGGGAAAAGAGCTGTCATATCACGTGATTTTACATGAGATTGGGTCGACTCACCAGGCTTGGACCCGACGCTCCATGATGTGGCTGGGGGGATCATCACCAGTTCAATCACGGCGCCAGACCCGGCTTTTTGCCCGCGGTTGGGAGCATCACTATCTTATCGCATCATCACAGTATATGATATCAGTTACGTTCCATTTAATTGTATGCTGTAGTCGCGCGCGCTTCCTCTCCCTCGCCTCGCCTCAGGCGCGATGCCTTCGACACGGCCGCCAAACGCGCAGTCGCCCATCGTCGATGTCGACGGCGCCCTCGATAATATCGACACCATTCGCATCCCCGAACCCCACGGTACATACTTACAAACACGCGGAGCTCGCGCAGCTCGTCGAATATATAAAGCTATGGGTGTCTGGCCATGGGACATCGTTCCCGAAGCACCTCCTAAGATGTGGGCCATCAATCTGCTAGAGGACCTCGCCCTTGTCGCAGACCATGTTGCCAGAAATCCAGGCGATACCCTGCAAGATCTTCAATCAGAGCTTCGGAAGTCTCTTGCGCGCGACCGCAAACCTTCTTATGCTGGAAAATTGATGGCGCAGGATGTCCACGCTGCAAAGAAGCGATTCGTTCGAACAATGCCTCAATCGCCTGATGCTCAAGACGACACTGGTGATGATGTTGGTACTGCTGAGCGACGGTCGGGACGACGGCGAAGAACCGCAAACTATAGCGCTCCAGACTCACCAATTGACCCATCGCGATCGCGTCGAGACACTTCCTCAGAAGAGAGCGAGGAGCACATGGCCTCGTCTATTACCGTCGCCTCAGAGTTTCCTCCATCTCCCCCTGTACCTCGCAACATCAAGCATCTCAAACGACCAGCCACAACAATACCCACGCCGATTGAGAAGCGTGTCCGTCATAGTTCGCCAGAAGGTTCGCGCCTGTCGGCTGCGCAGAGCCTTATGATGTTTAGCTCTCCGATGGCTACGTTCCAAATGGCCACATCTTTCGGCCCAAATGCAACCGTCTGTTTTGCCAATATGCGATGAGTCCTTATGCTGATACATTGATAGGCCAATGCTACTCGTTCCCTCGAACCGAATAATCTTCAGGAAGCGTTAAAACCTGCGACCAATGTCTTTGTCGCAGCAATTGACGCACACGTCCGCACGATACGTTCCTCGCTTGCCATTGCTCAACAGGAAATATTTCCTCATAGGTCCAGATCCCAAGAAGCTATGAGCAAACTTCGCGCCGCCCAACTGGCTGTGCAAGCGATCCAAGAGGATATAGCTGAGTCGCAAGACAGGCTGCGACGGCTTGTCGAAGAGTCCGTCGCCGAGGACGCTCTTGCGCCACAGCTCCATGCACTCCAAGAAAACAACATGTCTTTACCGCCGGAAATCGCACAAGCAATACGAAGCTATGAGAGTCGCCGAGCAGCCAAGAGCGAAGAGATAAAAACCCAAGAATCAGCCATCAATGCTAAACGCGATGAGCTAAAACGAGCGGCCGAGGAACTCGACATAGCTGAGACGAACTCGAGCGGCATCGAAGCCGACATAAGAGATCTCCAAGCGGCGGTGACGCGTGGAACGGAAGCAGCCCGGTTCGCCAACATGTTCAGCGTGATGGTGCAGCTGGGGCCGGAGGGATTGGCGAACATTGAACAGATATACCCAGAGATTGGCTCTCTACTTGAGTCGCTGCTCGCGTCGAGAAATAGCCCTTCGCAGCAGAACCATAACAACAATCATCATGTGCATAATGCGGTGGATGGAGAAGAGGCTAATGGATTGTAGGGATTGGGCACGACGGGACTAACGTTAGTATAGCGATTTGAGTATTCCTTGTATGGCGAGAATAGATTTCCGCATTATCTAAAGATTAATCTGACGATAGCATTAGTTGATAGCGCATTTATTGCATCCGATGTTTATTTGGCCAATATTTTCTGTTTGAGTTCAGGGTAACGCCAAAGTCCAGTGCTTAGGCCAACTCAATTCATATCGTCTGCAGCTGCGTATAAGCCGCTACTTTTTGCATTCTCCCACCCAATTAGCTCGGTTCCGTGGTCTAGTTGGTTATGGCATCTCGTTAACACCGAGAAGGTCCCCGGTTCGATCCCGGGCGGAACCACGTTTTTTGCCCGTGACTCTTTTTAATCTTTTTGGTTTGCCGGCCTTTACCTACCTAGTCTTTATTGACTTCTTTTGGTGGCTGTATCTCGGTATCTTGACACACTTGACCTTGTCTCTTGACAATAACAGCCTGCAATAACTTCGAGGAGTCTTGAGTATTAACGGACAGTGTACTATTTGGTTTTATATATATATGTCTACCACATTTTGCTCCTGAGGCTCTACCTATCGTGGTCTAATAATACGTACTACCGGAGTCTTCTGCACATCCATGACCGTATCGTGATGCCTAGAGAGCTTGCTCAAACGGCTTGATCTTCTAAGCTTCGACTCCGACTTGGATAGGATCGTAGCTCTCCGGGGAGTAGGGAGCGAAGATGCCAGGCTTGTTGAAGACTGGCTAGGCGTCAAGAATCAGCCGGGTGGCAGTGTCGTAGGCCAAACTGACAGACTTGGTCATGACCGAGTAGCCGCTAGGCCCCCCAAAGAGTTCGAGGGTAGACGTGATCGTGTTCTGGCGCAGGCAATGTTAGCTACTATTTCTCTTCAATAAGAACCGATAGATACTCACTTTAGCTCCGTTCTTCCAATTGAGAACGAACCTGTGTTGAAGCATTACTAGATCTCGCTCATAGGCATGGAAGCTGCATACCTTGTACAGTTGATGGGAGGAGTGTCGAGGGGGGAATCGCAGACTGCAGCCACTTCATCTGAGAATCGTCCCATCCACTTGGGGCCGTTGAAGATCTTACCGCGTTGTTCGGCAGAGCGAAAACTGCAAAGTCTATTTACCTTGGCCAGAAGATCAACCTCAGCAGTCGACGCTGCGCCTGTAAACTACTGCTGAATGTGTGACATACCCCCCCAGCCAAGTTCAATAGAAACCTTTGATAGAGAAGAGTTGGTATCGTATCTGACTGAACCTTAGATGACGGTGTGAGTTTCAAGGATGACATAAGCTTGACGAAACTGTACGTAATCTCGATTGGGATACGCAGGAAACGGGTACCCATCAAGAACGTGGTATAGAACTGCCCTGCTGATTAGGTCCTTGTCGGAAATCTCAATGATCTTGCCATCTTGGAATAGATAGCACAATTCTGTAGCGAAAGCAAGACGCCGCGTGGCGGCCAAGATAACTGGGAAATTAGAGGTTACGCAGGGAGGTAAATCAGTACAGGGGATAGGTCAACGTACCTCGAAACGCAAAGGGCTATCAGATACTTCAATGGCATGAGTTTCACCACGGTACGAGTAGAACTTCACGAGATATACAGGCCAGAACCGACAGAACAAGCGAGGTTGCATCATACCTTTCACCCTTCTCGTGAACCTCGCCGATGGCTTTAATGCCGTACAGGCGGTAGACACCAGGATTGACACCAACCTCGTTCAACAAAGTGATGCCAACAGCCTTGGCTTGGTACTCGAGTTCACGAATGGCAGGAGAATCGTAGCCTACGGTAACAACGCCTGCTATGCTCTTGGTAGCCGATCGAACGACCACTGCATGATGGACAAACGGTACGAGAGGAATGATGAGATCATATTCGGCGACGTGATTGTCAAGCTCCAGTGAAGCGATGCCAAAGGCAACAGCCTTAGCTGAAGCCCTTCAAGCTGCTATACCTTGGAGGGAAGAAAGAGAATGGCAGCCTGATAGTGTGCCAAGAGTCAGGGTATCAAAGCTTCGGGAAGGATGGGGAGGACACTGATCAATTGTAAGAACGTTGTTCTTGTCCTGAAGCAGATAACCAACATATGGGTTTGTAGCCATGCCACTTCTCAGAGCAAGGATCTTCTGCTCTGGAATGATAGTAAATTTTAGTGCAATCCTGGTTAACACTACGAGAATGTTGATCGACCGACGCGGATGTGTTGGACTTTGGAGAGTAGTCGGAGGATGTATCAAGCTAACATAGGGAAAAGAAAAGCAACAACCTTCAGTTACTTGAAGCATCAGACAAGCTATTTCAACAAAGGTGATAACCATAGCTTACATACAACAAACTTCAAGAATCGAGCATCTAAGCATCAAGGGGCTAGTCCCTTGAACTTTTGAGCCCCTTGCGAAGCCAGAAGATAGGCAATTTGGTAGGCCATTCTATGCTGTCAATTATCTTATCTTCTAAATCTTGTGTCAATATACTCTCAAGATCTACATTAATGTATGGAGTCCATTCCAAAACCGCGAATAGCATCTTCTGGACACTTCCTGATCTTAGTTATGCCAAGTAAATATAAGCTTTCAGCTCTAGGTCTTGGCCATAGAGGACACAAGGAGTTGGCAGTTTAGATCTTATACACGATGTAAATAATCCCAGACAGCCAATGCGTGTACCTTTGTAACGTGGTGAAACTCTGCAATTGACGCTGATTCATCCACAGACGCCACTGAGGAACCGTCAATAAAAAACTCAGGCTTATTTAGTAGGAAGGACTCACTTGTTGCTGGGCCGCAGCCAAAGATATAAGCTGGGATGCCAGCATATCGATAATGCTTACAATCTGATCCGCCCATCGAGGGGATGGGAATTGGAGCATCAGCATCTGGTCGCAGGCTCTTGGCGTTTTCCTTGAGATGACCAACGATGGGATGATCGATGACCGAGTAGTTGAAAGGATTACTCGCAGCAGCTTGCTTCTTGATCGTAATACTCGCGGGCTCGTGCTGCGGGATGATGGTGTCAATCAGGTCCAGGATCGTGTCTTCTCGCATCCCCACTGGCATACGAATATCCAGTTCGACGATACATGTTTCTGGGATCATGTTGACTTTGAGGCCGCCCTTAATTGTGCCAATGTTGACAGTCGGTCGAGCAATAATTGTGGTCGTTCCAGGACCCATTGCTTGATCGATAGCCCGCTTGACCTCTGGCTTTTCCAGATGACTCTCCATTTCTACTGGTAGATCGACTGGCAGTGCTTCTACTGACTCGATGACCTCATTGATGAATGCGCTGGCTGTTCGGATGGCGCCCTTGCTGAGATGAAGATATGGCCCCAACTCGCCTTTGGTCTTGACAGTACATGTCAATCGCAGCGTTCCCTTTTCTGCGAATCTGATAGTCTCAAGACCACCTGGTTCAGCACACAGCATGAGATCACCGCCCCATCTGTGCTTGTCTTGTTCAATGAGATATTTGGTACCCCATTTCCCACCCGTCTCTTCGTCGGCGACAGCGCAAAGGGCAACACTGCCCGACAGGAGATGGCGACACTCGAACAAAAAGGCATATGCAATGATGAGCGAGCCAGTCCCAGACTTCATGTCTACGACTCCGCGCCCGTGGAGTCTCCCATCAACTATATCGCCCGACCAAGGATCTCGAGACCAGCCGCTACCATCACCAACGGGGAAAACATCGACATGGCCGTTCAGAACGACGCGCGGGCCAGGGCCTTTTCCGCCTTGAAAGCCACTAATTACATTAACTTTGCCATCCCCGTTGACGTCGACGAATTCGTAAGGGATATTCTTGCTGGATAAATATTCTCCGATGACTGTTGTTGCTTCGATTGTGTCCCCGGGTGGATTTGGGGATGCGGCTTGTACAAACTTTTGAAGAAAGTTGGTTTGGTTGTGTTCATCGGCTGCGAGAGCCTCGAGAAAGGATTGCTTTTGAGGCATGGTCTACAAATGTAATGGATGGATGTGGGAAGATGGATTCTGTTTGCGTCCCGTTTGGCTTGCGTGGGTTTAAATACAATTCCATTGTCGGCGATCATCGGAGAGTTTTGGAGGCGATGTGATGATTCACGCCGGCTTTAGGCTGTGGAGGCAATAGCTGGGTTAAGATTATTAGATTGCCTCCGCGTAATTGTGAAAAACAAATAATGCCATTTAATTCTTTAGTTAATTTTATAAGCTCATCAAAATCTCCCAACTTGGTATCATTTTTAAAAAGAATTTGCCCAAGGGCTGGCTGCTTCTATATATTCCATGGGGTAGTACCAGTTGGGGAAGTCAGCCCTGTACCTGATGGCTGTAACTCTAATGGTGTATATGTAGTATTCGGAGCTGTGATGAGTGCGCCATGGCCTGGTATAGATTCACCCGTGCGGGGGATGATTGATTTTGAGGCTTGTTCGTCTTCGATACGCCTCGTCGTGTGCAAAGATGGATGGCAGTCAGGCTGTCATAGCGCATACTGGTACAAGCTGATCGATTGACAGTCAACACAGCGATGAACAGCGGCAACCGCAGTAGTGAAAAGCCAAGAATGCATTGCTACATATGCTAACAACTATGATACAGGGGTCTTGGTGGTATCTGCAGAACTTAATTAGAATCCTTTTCTGGAACATCACTCGCCCCCTCATGTACGGGCGCACTACCTTCCTGGCCCTTGAGGACCTGCACACCAGGCTCAAAGGAACCGTCATCGTGGACTGGAGGTCCAGTAAAGTTCTTTCGAGCATAAGCAGCATACCAAACGATGGCAATAGCGGCAAAGCCAGCAAACACAGCAGAAGCGTAGTTCATGGTACCGGGTTCAACAGGGAGAGACACGGGCATGCAAAAGATGACGATAGAGAAGACGATCCAGACGACGCAAATGCCATTGATGAGAGGGCCAAACTTTCCAAGAGGGTAGGGAGAGTGCTTGACAATCTTTCGGCCTCGCACCATGTTGACAGCGACAGGGACACCATAGGAGGAAGAGAGACAGATGGTAGCGACACCGGTGAAAGAGTTAAAAGCAGCAGAAGAGCCAAAGTAGATGCACCCAAGGATGCAGTCAACGACAGTAGAGAGGATGAGAGCATTGACAGGCATGTCGAGACGGTGGTTGACCTTACTCCAGAGCTTGTATCCGGGAATGGCACCATCTCTGGCGAAAGCATAGGTGCAGCGAGACGCAGCGGTGAGGGCACCAATGCCTGCGAACATGAGAATGCCAAGAATGAGGAAGAGGAGACCGAAGCCACCAGCCGCAGAACCAGTAACAACCTTGAACAGGGTACCGATAGGCTGGGAATTGGCAACGGAGAGAAGCATCTTGACGTCGGGAAGGACGAAGAGAATGGGGATGAGGTAAATAATTCCGGTGACACCAGCGGCAGCGACGGAGAGGACGATGGCCTTGGGCACCTCACGTTCGGGGTTCTGGACCTCTTCACACATGGCAGCGACCATGCCGTAGCCAGTCAGGACATAAGCACCTATTGGTTGGGGATGGTTAGCGACCGTTTAATTGAAAAGGCTTGGCATACGTACCTTGCAGCAGTCCCACGAAGAACGACCAGCCCGTAGGCCAGCCACTTGCCGAAGCATCATAGTGGGTAAAGACGAACTCAGCAGAGCGACGCGACGGCGCCATGACAAGCAACGTGACGATAATGATGATGACACTCGCGCCGGTCCAGTAAATGCAGACCTTGTTGATCAGGTCCAAGTACCGCGAACCAAAGGCGTTGACCAAAGCACAGACAAGCATCACAGCCCAGAAGCACAAGACCGTCTGCCATGTATTCGCGACAAAGTCCTCATTGAAGATGGTAATGGCGCTAAGAATAAGCTGCGCACCAGAAAAATTGATCGACAGTGTAACGGTCCAGTTTCCCACGAGCGTGAGCCAGCCATCGACGAAGCTGACGATGGGAGCGTAACGAGGCGTGCTGAGCATGGCGCTCCAGTAGTACACGCCGCCGGCCGTCGGGAACACAGCGCAGATCTCGGCGAGAGAGGCGGCGATGCACATGGAGATGAGCGACACGAGGACCCAACCCCAGAGGACGGTGACAGCTTGGCCGTTGGTCAAGGTGATGTACATTGTCGTCGAGAGACCGAAGGGGACGGCCATGATGGCGAACGACAGGCCGAGGACGCTCAGCATGCTGAGGTTTCGAGGGAGCTCAGCCTTGTAGCCCAGACGGGCGAGGGCCTGATCGGCGTCGCCGCTTTTGGTGGCAGACTCCATGATGGATGGACAGCAATGACAGATGGGAGAGGCAATTAACGAGTAAAATGTTGTAATTATGGCGTGGTACTGTGTGTACCTTTGCTGTGTTGGCGCGTCAATTATGATCAGGGGAAAGTGGACATTATTATCTTTTTAAAAAAGCAGACGAGAAATGAGAAACAGGAAACGGGCCGTGAGGGGCCTAGACTCGGCGTCCTCCACGATCTAGGTCCTACTTATCTCTGTCCTCAACGGGTTAGTCCATCTGGGGTACACGAGCATTAGTGGCTTGACATTTCGGTCATAATACCGCTGATCCCACGTATCAACGCGGCTACATTCCGCCGTCTATGCATGTGAGAAGAGCGCGATCGCGGCTATTCATCCTCTCCAAATACGAGCATCGAAAGACTGCAACTTGAGCGATAACAAACCGACTCATCCTCACTTATATCTGATAACAAGGCAGCATCTCCACATGATAAGCATCGAGTCATTTCCCATTTCCCCAGATTGAGCTGATACGGATCCCAGAATCTCCTACGTAAAGACAAGCCCGAACAAGGAATCGTTTGATAGCGACCCCACCAGGAGATAACCGCGCACCGAGCTGACACAGCGCGTCAACTGACTTTACTGGGCAGGACAAGTCAACCAAGATCCTCCGTTAATCTTCTCCGCATTCTACGTTTCGTCGGTAGTTGCCACGCTTGGCCTCTTGCGGAGATATCCCTGTCTGACTCGTGAACTATCGCGTGTCACGCCTCGTGGATGGCCTTGGCGGTTTAGTGATTCAGCCCTTGAGGGGTAACACCATCGTTACAAACTAAGTTGACGTTGCATCTGTTGATTGGATACCGTAAAACACTCTGTGCTATTGTAGTTGTAGTGCTGGACTGCTGGTCATAGCTCCCAGTCAGCAGTATAGGAGCTCAGCCGCGAGCCGCGCTCTCTATCAAGACGGCATGATAGCTGGAATATACTCGAATCCGCCATCTGCCGATGCATCCGGCTTGTCATTAGAAGGCGACGCTTAATTTCCATACTCATCCCTTAAAAGACTTCCCATCATCAGCACTATCTGCTTTATCAGGGTCACTTCATGGCTCCCTTAGACCGGGCGCGATGGTCAGGGTGGCGAAGAGCGGCTCCGTGCAACACTGCAACTCACTACACGCGGCTACGATTTGTGAGACTGTTATACTTGACGGTGCGGCAACATCATACAATGATTATGATTGTTGAGCTAACTTTTCTTTGCGGCGATGTCTGATCCTTGATATGTGAAATGATCTGTGCCTGATGCAGCACAGATGGGCCAAGAATGCACGTTGAGGAGAACTACCCAGTAACGATACCCTATATTGTTTATCAACATGAAAGCGCCTATAGTTTGACACTGATCCCTTCGTGTCGCCTAGCATAATAGACAAGCCCTTCCTATTTCCTCGCAGCATTGGGAGTAGCAAGAGAAGAACTTGTCAGAATCAACAAAACACGCGGCTAACCGTGCCATTTTCTCAAGATGTAGTACGACAAGACCCAAAGACCCAAAGTATAAAGACTGATTAAATCTCAAACACTGTGATATCAGCGCAGGAAGGAACATGACGTGGGGTTTGGATCGACTTCTGTTGTTTCATTCCGTTCACACCACGCTTGTTCAGCCATCATCCTCGTTACAGCTAAGGTGGTAAAGAATATGAATGTCGACTTATACAATTTCTTTCTTCGCGGTTCCATTACTACAGGATGTAGAAATCATATAGTTTGCCTATAGCATGGGCTGAACTGGTATCCATCCATCCATACTTCACCTAACCTAGAACAAGATAACCCTCTTGCATGATAAGATGTGATTAGATTGACCTATTAATAACCATCACTAGCATAATAGTTAATTTTATTATCGAGACCCAGAGCATTTAAGAGATAAACATTTAATGTTAAATGGAATCCTCGCTGTATTGGAGTCTACTTAAGCGGCGAGTAAGCTTACATCATACCCTAATGTAGAGTATAAATTACCTTTAGGTCAGATCTTGTTCCCCAACCAACCACCTACTCGCATCTCACTTATCGACCTTCATACGACTATATGCAATCCGTTCAGCTTTAAAAATGTCCGTTCTTCCAACTGTAGCAATCGCCGGCGCGACTGGTAATCTCGGTGCCAAAGTGACTGAGGGGTTTCTCCAACAGCCATTTCGCGATAACGTGCATGATAAGCGAGTGCTCCAGACAAGCGAGTGCTCCACCAATCTACACGTGAAGACTCAGAAAGAGAAATAAAACACCACAACATATCTGATCAATTAAAATTAATCGCTAGACTATTCCCTATTAACCTCAATTGACTCTTGACAGGTCCTTGCAGTATGCCCGGTCTTTCCGCAAATACTACATCGCCGAGGCTTTGATCCTTGTGACCT